GGAAGTGGTGAGAAATCATCAAACAGAAGAAAGTGGCTCTGTGGAGCTCAGGGATGGCTTGAAGGTGTACAGCTTTGGTGAAAGGGTGTTTTGGCACTTTGACACAAGAACCGTAGAATCACATTTCCCAGCTCGGTGACCTTGCAGAGCACTGTCTGAATCAAAAAAAAAGAAAAAAAAAAAAAAAAAAAAGGACTCATTTTAGCTGTCACCACTGTATGTGCAAAATATTATTATTATTTTTGCATTACTTCATGACTAACCAAATGTTAAAATGCAGTAGATCACCCCCTATTTCCCTGCCAGGAGTTATGATGGCTTTTCTTTCTCTCTCTCCCCTTCTCCTTTTCTTTTTTTTCATCAGTTTCATTTCTAAGCAGACATAGAAGTTGTTGTGTGAGTCAAATCAGAGATGCTCAGTCTTGGCAAGGTAACTCAGTGGTTTTAGTGTTTTGTCAGTTGTAATCAATGAGAGCGAGTCTGATGTTTTTAAATTCCTGTCTGAACTTTCCTTCCATTCACCATCCAAAGCACAGCATCTACTTGCAGCGTATGGCCCTGCAGTGAGGATGGAACAAATGACTGGCCAGAACTGAGAGTGTGTTGTGTGCAAGTGTTCACACACACACTTACACACACACGCACACGCACACGCACACGCACACACACACGCACACGCACACACCCACACACTTTCATGCCCATGCTGCTCTGAAAAAAAAAACAAAACCAACAAAAAACCCACAAACCACTGCTAGAGGAGACTTTGCCAACCTGCTACTCACCTGTGAAAATGAACTATCCAGATTAATTACCTGACAAAGGCTGGACCACAGCTGTCAGCTCAAAACGAGAGTAGTGTGTCAACGAGAAACAAAACCGAGGACAGGCTGGAAGGGCTTTGTGTGCTCCAGGTTTCTTTTTTTCCTTTTCTTTTCTTTTTTTCTTTTTTTTTTCTTTTCTTTTCTTTTCTTTTCTTTTCTTTTCTTCCTTTCCTTTCCTTTCCTTTCCTTTCCTTTCCTTTCCTTTCCTTTCCTTTCCTTTCCTTTCCTTTCCTTTCCTTTCCTTTCCTTTCCTTTCCTTTCCTTTCCTTTCCTTTCCTTTCCTTTCCTTTCCTTTCCTTTCCTTTCCTTTCCTTTCCTTTCCTTTCCTTTCCTTTCCTTTCCTTTCCTTTCCTTTCCTTTCCTTTCCTTTCCTTTCCTTTCCTTTCCTTTCCTTTCCTTTCCTTTCCTTTCCTTTCCTTTCCTTTCCTTTCCTTTCCTTTCCTTTCCTTTCCTTTCCTTTCCTTTTCTTTTCTTGCAGCCATACTGGGGCTTTCTGGTCCTGGAGCATACCCGTGATGGGATAAATTCTGCACAGGCATGGAGCAAGAGCGCTGCCAACCGCAAGGCTACATAATTATAACAGAATTGGGAATATTAACAAGGTGGCTGCAGTATTAACCACTGCTACCAATATCACACTGATGGTTGTTAAAATGACGATAGCTGCATGCGCTTCATACTGGTTGGAGCTTTTTACTCTTCCTGATTCCCTTGGAGGACTCAGAAATGGTACTGAGAGTGGGCAGTTTTTCTCCAGCTGTAGACCAGGTAGACGCCCTCAGTGCTCCTGTTGCTGAGTGCAGAATCCAGCTGCTATCAGGGCTTGGCATGGCTGCAGGACTGGTGCTGGCCATAGCAGGACTGTTTTATCCCTCATCCTCCCATAGTGCCTAGGTCTAAAGCCTAGGTGCTATGCAGAGTGGAGGGATGGGCAGGACAGTGCTAATCCCATGGTAAGTTTGGCCATAAATTGAAGTCAAACAGTACTTTGACCCCTACCTATATAGAATCATAGAATCAGAATCATAGAATGGTTTGGGTTGGAAGGGACCTTAAAGATCATCTAATTCCACCCCCCCTTCCATCAGCAGGGACCCCTTCCACTAGACCAGGTTGCTCAAAGCCTCATCCAACCTGACTTTGAACACTTCCAGGGAGGGGGCATCCACAGCTTCTCTGGGCAACCTGTTCCAGTGTCTGACCACCCTCACAGTAAAGAATTTCTTCCTAATATCTAATCTAAACCTACCCTCTTCCAGTTTAAAGCCATTACCCCTTGTTCTGCCACTACCTGCCCTTGTCAAATGTCCCTCTCCAGCTTTGCTGTAGCCCTTTCAGGTACTGGAAGACTGCTATAAGGTCTTCCCAGAGCCTTCTCTTCTCCAGGCTGAACAGCACCAACTTTCTCAGTCTTTCATCATAGCAGAGGTGCTCCAGCCCTCGAATCATCGTGTGGCTTCCTCTGGACTAACTCCAGTAGGTCCATGTTCTTCTTACGCTGAGGTGGGGTCTCACGAGGGTGGACTAGAGGGACAGAATCACCTCCCTCAACCTGCTGGCCACACTTCTCTTGATGCAGCCCAGGATACAGTTGGCTTATCAAAGTAGTTACATGCATGGATTCACCAGAATGTTCCCATTTTACAGACTGGAAATTGAGGCAGGGGCTGACAGCATGCCTAGCATTGGGCTGCAGGAGATCCAGGCACAGGGGTAGACACTCAGCTCAAATCCCTGAGCCTTCACGCTTCCCCTTCCCTGCCTACCTCTCTTTGTTGTGCTAATTTGACCATAGTGAAAGAAACACTCTGAGACGCTGCAGTTTGAAGCCTATATACAGACTTGGGAAGGGTCTTGATCCTGTGGTTGAAATATTTGCAATGCAGACAAGGGCGACCTAGAGCTGGCAGTGCACGTGTAAATCACTGCTCAGCCTGGAGCCGCCTGAACTGCTACCCCATCCGTTACACCTCCAGTTGTTTGCAAAGCCTTTCTCCACCCAGGGGGAATTTTCAGACAGATGCACGGAGAAATTCTCAGATTAATTTGATTTTTGGGGGGAGGCAGGGGGATTTAAGTGAGGGGTTTTTTTGTTTGTGTTTATTTCTCCCCTCCGAGCTGCCTTTCATTGCGCATTTACTAGTTCTGGAAGACAACACCCTGCTGACACTTAGAGAAGCATCAGTGAATAAAGTCTGTTGTACAGGCTGCAAAGCCATCTGGACTTTCTACTGAAAAGGTTGGACATGGTTTTAGGCAAGATTTTATCACGTCTGAAAAAAAAACTTCTGCACTCAGCACCTCTTCCAAGGTTGATGTCAGATATTTATTTTCTTTTGTCGGCTGCAAAACAAAAAATTGACAAACAGTTGGAAGGCAGTAAGGATGGAGATATAAATCTCTAGAGGAAGCTTTGTCAAAGGTACTGGAGTATAAACAAAAAATAAATTAGTTTCGGTGTTATCAGAAACTGGACAGACTTCGATTTGGATAATAGTTTGTCTGGGTTTGCAGACCACCTACAAAATGCTTCTGTGAGGCTAAGCACAGATTCAGATTCGCTTGACAGAAGAGGTGGGGGAAACGGTTCAAGACACAGTCACAGGAGGAGAAGGGATGAAGGAAGACAGGAAGACAAAGGTGCAGTGGCAGACAGCCTTGAAATCCTCTACTTTTTTGCTTTTATCATTTACAGGGACTCCAAGCAGCATGTTTTACCTTGCTTGCCATATTAGTCAGCTCTTGGGTCCAAGAATATTGTGTAGCCCTTCCGTGCTACAAACCCACCCTCAGGTTTTGGCAGGACATTTTTGTAGGCTGAAAAGAGTAGCACAAGGCTTGTGTGCCAGCTTCTCCTTGCTGAGGAGCCCTGTGAGCAGAGCAGGAGAGAAAAACACTCTGGATCTAATTTACTGGAGTGCCCTTTAGGTTATGTGAATCTTAGCAAGGGAGCTAACATCCAGCTATTAAAATAAAAACACAGATTGGTGACACAGTTTTATATATTCCAAGAGCTGAGTATGAAGCTGGTTATTCCTCTTTTCTCTCTGTAATTGCTGTGTGAATTTGGGGAGATTCTTTCTTACCCCATGGCTGTACATAGAAGCCCAGACATGTAATGCCAGACACATTAGAGATCCTTAGAGGTATCCTTCCAGAGGTATGGTGTGCTGATAAAAAAAATTTATTCATATTTGTATTATGCCTTTTTTTTTTTTTTTTGCTGTGAGGGAAGAACTGCAAATTCTATTTCTTGTCTTTGACACTGATTTACATGAGCAAAATATTAAAACTGATTGCCTCTCAATTTAATCACCAATTACATAGGAATAAATATATTTACCTATCTGACATGAATTTTTTAGGGTTTGGTCAATTTGTAGGTAAACTGATTTGAGATCTCTGCATAAATAATTAAATAAACAGTAATAATTGATTTTTAATTTAATTACTAGGTTTATCCATTTAACATTTGTCTTTTTTTTCCCCAGGAAGCTCTTCTTTTCTTGCCCACAGTGAATAAATAACTTACAGCAACTCTCTGATGATGAGGAATTTTTCTTAAAGATTTTATTTGCTGTAAGAAATCTGAGCTATAAGTGAAAGCTGTAACATTGCACTCATCCATGGGCTGATCCTTTCCACCACCCTCACAGGTATGGTCCCAAGAGAAGGTCGTCCCACGGAGGGCAGCCCACACAGTGCCAGTCCACACTTTCCTGACCTCATGCTCAGTCCTTCCCTGGGCTCTTGCTTACAGACAAGTCTGCTGAAGCAATGGGTTTTGCCCAAAAATGTTGTCACAGGGTTTAAAAAGGCCATTCCCTGGTTCAAGGTGTGGACACTTGTTTAGGAGTTTATTGACTGGAGATGGAGGGGGAGGCTGATGAGAAAGTGACATTTGATTTTTAAAGCATGGGCTAAAAGTAATGCTGAATTTTTAGCTTCAGATACAGGTTCTCAGCAGATATAAAACAATAAAACTTAATTTCAGCAATGAAGTGTTAATTACTTATGTTTGTCCAGTAAAGGACAGTAAGTCAGGAAGGGACTGGTTGGTTTTAGACCTGGCCCCAGGCACACACCAGTCCCAAGTGACTCTTTTTGGTGCCTGATTGGCAACTGGAATTCAGCAGATATCATGGTTCTGCCTGTCCTGGCACAAAACCATCGTAGATGACGAGAACTGTCCCTGCTAATTACACGTTTGAGGAGAAGCCCAGAGAAGGGTGAGGTAACATGAAATATAGATTACCTTACCACCCCTCCCAGCCAAGGGAAAGGTTGTTAGCAAGGTTACAGACAGATTTTGAGAATCATTACAGCAAATGACAGCAAAATCTTTTAACAACAAGAAAGGCAAAATTCTGATGTCTGTATAGCAATTGCCGTGCAGTGTGTTATATGCCTTGCTCTGCAGTGATTCAGAAAGTTGAGTTGTGCAGTGCCTTGCTGGGATCAGCAGTTCAGAATAGATTAAATTTGTTTTGGACACTGCCTGCACCCTGCTTTATCTAACAAAGCATATGTGTGATGGGGAAAGTTCTTGATAGCACAGCTCCTTAATGAGAACCATAAACACAGAGGTGTAGATTTTCAAAGTGACGCTCAAGGGATTTGAGCAAGCACTGTTCTCTCCCTGCTTTGAACATTTTCCCAAGTTCTGCTAACTGTTTAGGCTTTGGGAAGAGAGTGGACCTCGAACAGCCAAGAGTATTGTATGTGGCCACAGTTTTGCCACTGTTAGTTTCCAAAGGATACTTGTTTTAATGCACCTAAGAAAGATAAAGTGACGAAACCGAAAACTGAAAGGACATTTCTCAGATAAAGCATTGATTTTATTAAAGAGAGATGGCTCACAATATGAATCTAAAATCTAGGTTTATATAGAGAGCATATAAGCCCTTTTACAGAGTTAGCCATTCCTGGGCACTGGTGGCTTTATAGAGCTTTTATCTAGTTAAAGAAAACCCATTTGTGCTAATTTGATATCTGTAGCGTACAACAGCTTGACACCTGAGGCTTGTCCTAATGCACACACAAGGCTGCAAAGCGAACACGGCTTCATTGTTTTGAATTATTCAGCACTTGCAGCCAACCTTATGTGTGCTTCTGTAGGAAGAAGGCTTTTGGGTTAAGGATTAGTAAAAGAAAAGAAAAAAGGCAAACAACCAACCCCTCCTTTCTGGCATTTGTTAGCAGGTGCAATATTGACTTCAAGAATGATTCTGCAAAATTGGTATGGACATTCTTCATTACTGGAGCGATAAATGCAGAGCTGTACTCAGAAGAAGTGAAGCTGGAAACTGAGCATGGCCTCCTTTAGGGAACAACTGTTCATGTCGGTGGAAAAGCTTGTTTCCTCTAAATTCATTGAAATGGTACTTATTGGTAGCATCTTTTTAGAGCAAGATGAATGCCGATAACAATGAATCAACCTCAAATAGAGGGGCTCATCTGTTTGCATCCTAACATTAACACGCTAATGTGAATTTAAAGATTCTAATTAAACCCACATACAAAATGTTTTCCTACTAAATAGAAAACCGTACTTTTTGGAGGAGCTAGGGCATTTGGATTTGACAGCATTTCTTTTTTCAATACTATGCTTATTTTATGTGTTCTATTTTCTTTCAGTCATTCCAGGGGTTTCTGAAACAAATAAAAAGATGCATTACATTATGTTTGATTGATTCCCTGTAGTCGGGGGATATATTGAGAAAACAGACCAATTTTTTTCACTGAGCTCATAGAATAAATTCTTGTTTGATCTTTGTACTTCCTACTGTTGCTACAAATTTCTTTTGATATTTAACATTGATTAATCTCATTTACAGAATCACATAGTAGTACTTTTGTACAAATTTAGAAGCTTTTTTTATTGTAGCTGAATTCACATCATAGCTATCAGTTTTTAAATGCATCCATCCCTCTCCAAATGTGCCAATAAATGTTGCTTTTTTCCCCCATTTCAAACTTGATATTTATGTGAAAAAAATCAACATTAAAAAAAAAACACTATGAACATTGTCACAGTACCTTTTTGCCATTCATGACTGAAAATCTCACTGAAGATATTTACAAAGTTTAGTGGGAGACTTTCATGTTCCCTAGTAAAAAAGTTTCAGATGCAGTAGAGGACTTCTAGCTTGCATGTAGCCGTTCAAGGAATGTCACAAGTGAGAAGCCTTCTGCAGCCTTTAATCATTGCTGGAGCATATGCTGATATATGAACAATTTATCAAAATCTGATTAAATGGCTTTTAGCAGACCTCACATTCATTAGAACAGAGTCCAATCTAAAACTCAGAGTCACTGGGAAACCTCCCAGGAATAAAGGTGTTGAGATTCACCAGAGACGGATCTTAACTAGCCCTCCCGTTCCACCTTTGTCTCTTCTGCATTTCTCTGTGCATCCTGTATCGTCCCATCCCTGGGCAAGATGTGGCTATCATTTTCACAAAGCCATAAGTTTACTGGGAAACCCAAAAAACAAATGAGTGGAAGAGGAAATTTTCTGTTCTGACTGCCATTCTGGGATCTTTCTTCAAAGTCCACCTCATACAGCAGCCAGCACAGTGCTGATAATTAAGTAAATGATCGCTAGTGATATAAGCAATACAGTGGAGGCAAATATGTTTTGCGGGGCCTAGGAAATTAGCAGAGCAATCAGCTTCCAGCTGGGGTGAGGGGACGAGAGGGAAGTAGCCAGTAAATAATCGCTCTGAGCCTGGGAGCCCATTGCACAGTCCGGGTGAGTCGGCCAAGTCAGCCGAGGTCAGCCGAGCCACTGAGGAGCCTTCATGAATGCAGCAAATTCAGACATTTGATGATTTCAAATAAGGAATTCATTAGGGTAGCTCAGCATCTTATGTAGCTAAAACATTTGTAACAGGACTGTGAACAGATGCAGGGGTTGGTGAGAGTGATTCTTTTCACTGCATCAGTAGGAGCAGTTGATCTTCCCCATCAATCTTGGTAAGAAAATCGCGAGGATATTCAGTGTCAGAATTGTGTTATTGTTATTGGAGTTTTCATTAGAAGCTCAGTGTGGGAACGTGTACCCAGCTGCTGCCTGTGCAGCACACACCTCATCCCCTCTGAGAAGCATGAATGAGAAGACCTCTCTGAATCAGGATGTACAGAGGATATACGAATGTGGTCAGCTGAAATGAAAACATATAGCCAGACAAAATAAAACCACCTCCATCTAAGATAAAACAAACCCCATATACGCTGGCCCTGAGGAATAAGGCAAAACCAGACATAATGATCAATACTGTAGGAGTTATGATCGGAGAGAAATAATTACTGCAAAGCTCAAGGAAAGCACCACAATGAATTCCCCGGCATTGCCTTGTTCTTTGAGTAATACTCTATAAATGCCTGTGCATGCTGATGGAAGGCTGAGTTATGAGGGGCTGTGGACTGCAGCCTCCAGTCGGGTTGCAGAAGTCCTTGCTTGATCCTGCTTTGAGAGTGTCACCACTTTCAGTGCCATTTGCCTCACAGGTCACTTGAGAGGTGGGCAAAAATTGTCCTCCTTTGCCTCTGGAGAAGTAGGACTCATGGCAAAGTAAGTGGCTAGCACCGAGGCTTCCAGGAAGCAGGGCAAGGAACGAACACAGCCTGCGACCCGCTGCCCTCCTTCCTTTCCCCAGTCCATCCCTGGCACTCCCTTCCTCCAGGACCTCCCTCGGCCATTTCCACCAGGCTGGGGGAGGTCCTGACAACAGGAGGTAAATTGATGCTAGAAGACTGATGGTGGAGGGCAGCCCACAAACCTCAGCTATTTCTCTTCCCAAGGTTGCATCTTGAAGATGATGGAGTACCTGGGAAGAGCCTTACTAATTCATTGGCTTGAGGGTACAATCACTCAGCGATGAATCTCCAACTAGCTACAGCAAACTTATTTACAAGCCTGGGAAAAATTGTGCTGTGTAGCAATTTGCTACACACCCTGAGCAGGAGCAGCACTTTGGGATTGTTATTCTCTCTGCTGTGTTTTCCTCCTTTTTAGACAGTGAGAGTTCTCCACAGGAAAAAATACAAAGTCCCTCTGTCAACACATGTGTGTTCCCCCTCAGCCAGTAAAAAGAACCACATGTGCATCTCCTTCAATTTTTGAAGGGAGTTGTGAACTTAATTCAACCCAATCCCCATTCGTTGTGTTCAACATTTACCCCCCAAATGTCAGTAATTTTCTGGAAAATAAAGTACTTGGGAGACAGGAGAAACACAGCCCTTGGTGACATCTGTATAGCAGAATATTTCTTCCCATCCATATGCAAATCTAACCTTTTTGATATTTCAACCCTGTAAACCCTAAGACAGGATTTCAATAGAAAATGTTTACTAAAGGCTTTCTCCTTTATAATCTATTGATTTTAATATCCTTACTACTCCTGTTGAATGTCAGTTTTACCCTGAAGACTTCCATTGCACACTTGAACACATTTAATTATTTATACCATTTGAAATATTAGTGCCAAGAAATGACTAGAAGTTTTTGGTTCTGTAACGGTATGATCTAAAGTTTAATTTTCCTTTGTGAATAACACAAGCAATTTGATATGGTAATCAAGGACAGATGAATACTTCAGACAACACAGTGCCGTTTTAATAGTAATGACACCTATTTTTCATTTTTCCAGCCTCCTTGTATATGTTAAAATATAGCTCATTAAGTACCACAGGATCTCACAGTCTTTTTTCACAGTGGAAAGTTTTGCATTATCTGTTTTCTTCCCTCTGACAGGTACCTGAACAAGTAACTGCTGCTGCCATTAGTGACAGCAGACATTTAGCCAATGTGCATGGTTTCAGTGCAACTGAGAGCAGATTTGCCGCTCAGTGTGGGTCTAGCAGTCATGTTTGCCTTACTCGTATTACTCACTGTATTAGCAAGATCGAGCAAAGTTTTGGTCTCAAAGAAATTGCCTGTGAGACAAATATAGTTTTTACAGAAAAATCTAAGGATGTATGAAAGGTAAGATTTTGATAGCAGGCAAACCAAAGCAGGGGATTTAAAAGAAACTCAGCACCTGAAAGGTCAGTTCTTGTGGAGAGTCGTATTTTTTAACCTCAACACACAGGCAAAGCCAGCATGGCCAAGTTCTCCCTGCCCAGCCAGGGCACAGGCGTGCTGGAACTCCCATCCTTGCCAGTGGAGCCTTATCTGGAGCATCTTAGAGTGAAGCATCCATCTACTGGCTTCAGTGACGTTTTGTATCAGACCCCAGTTTTCCAAGGAGGTTTAACACTCAAACATAAGTCCCCTTAGTTCCAGCACTCAAGTGGTATTTGAGATTTATTCATCCATGTGCTTTGGTGTAAGTTTTCAGAGTTCTGACTGTCCATATCTTTTTAATTTCTTCTTTCCTCACCCTCTACCTCAAGCTAACATTTCTCTGCCATTACATGATCGATGTGATTGCATGCACCTCTATTAATTGCACTGAATTTGTCCTTCACAAGGAATGTTTCTACTCTTCCTGCTCCCCGCCCCCATCTTCTGAAATTTTCCCTTTGTCTACTACCAACCTAGGAGTTGTTCAGAACCTGCCAAGATGTATTTGGCTCTTGTATTTACTCTGGATGGAAACTTTTATTTCCATTCATATCTGGCAGTAGGAACTGTGGTATCCCTAAACACAACTTTTCTCTGAGATTAATTGTTTTGATAATAGAGAATAAGAAAAGAATGGTTCCTTTTGTGTATGGTTTTATAAGTTACTTCTGATGGCAGATAACATAGCCTAGCCTATATCCCCAAAGTTCAACAAGACTCACAATGGCTGTCAGTAGTTGGACTTTTCTGGTTTATATCCCATCAGGACTGATCATCTGGATATGTATCTTTTAGTAGGATTATTTTTTAATAGTAAAGCAAGAAAATCTCTGTAATGAAAACTATGATTCTAAACTGACCAGCGGTAAATGTACCAACTCTTATCTCCACCAGATCTGTCCTATATGCATTAGGTATGTTTGTAACCACTTTTGGTTTTATAGAAACATTGAAAGGCAGTCCAAAGACTCCAAACAGGCAGAAATACTGTCACTGATTTCAGTGCACATGACTGGATCAAGCCAAATAGCTGCTCTGTCATGTGTTAGAGGGAAGGCAGCATGTGCTACGCTTCTTGTAACTTACGGGTATAGGTCAGGAAAATGACCCCATACCCAGCTTTGCCACCTGGCCAGCTTTTAGGGTTGGATTATTTCAGGCCCTGAATAATGCTGCTTTACATGGATCGAACCTCAGGGTATCAAATCCCTTACAGGCCTGAGCCGTGCATCTCTTGATTTTTTTTTCTCCATCTGCAAAAACAGACTGCTCCTTTTCCTCCTTTCTGTTGTACTTTGGAATATCCATTTGGAAACTCACAGTTTAAACACTATGTTTTTCCTGCATCCTACATGTATCCATGTGTGGAAGTTGTTGAGTCACCATCCCGGGAGGTATTTAAAAGATGTGTAGACATGGCATTTAGGGACATGGTTGAGTGGTGGACTTGACAGTGTTAGGTTTAAGGTCTTTTCTAAGTTAAATGATTCTGTGATTCTACAATCCTATATCCTACGACTCCATTGCTTCTATTAATTTCACTGGCATCATTTTAGGCAATGCATTTAAGACAAAAAATATTCGCCTGACTTATTTTAGCTAAGAGGCTTCACATTTAATGGATTTGCTGTTCTTTAATGTCCCAGGTCACTCCTTGAGATCAGCAAATGCTGAATTCCTTATCGTCCCTAAATGTTATCTGAAGTCGTCGTTATTTTGCCTTTAGTGAGTCTCTTTGCTCTCTGGCTTTGGAACCTACTGCCAAATGAAGTAAAGAAAGCTCTGACTGTGGGGATTTCTAAATCCAAAGTTAAAAGTTATTTGTTCTATTTAGCATTTTTAAAACGATTCTTTTAGGAATTGTGTGTGCCTCTAAGCTAATTAACTCTTAATGAGTGCAAAATGCCCTGGGATGCAGATTTGGAGGGTATGCTAGAAATGCAGGCACAGATTGGACTGCAGTACTGCAGGAGATGAAATTTATGATTTGATTCTTTTTTTAAATGATGGTGCAGATAGTTTTATTGAGATACTCTTTTTTTCTTTCTTTCTTTCTAGTCTAAATAAAGCTGATCAGATTTTCAGTCCACCATATGGGACCCAGTTATATCAGTCCTGCAAATGCACTTTAGTTTTTCGTTATGGATGAAGTCACTCTTCAGTAGGGAAAACAAGTTTAGAAACAAACTTTCGTATAATGAAAGACAGGCAGTGTTCCAGCGCTGAGCATTTAGCTAGAGCATCAGGATATCAGAACACCTGGCTGTGCCTGGCTCCATGCTATTCCCCTGGACCAGTCCCTCACCCTTTTAGTGCCTTCACTCATCCATCTGTAAAGCAACTATAATTACATTTATATCACAAGGGTGCCCTGATGCTTGACAAATGAGAATTGACCCAAAATTCATCCTTCAGAAGCACTGTATGAGCAATACCTTGCTCACATGGTGGTTGTGGACAATTAGATTAGAAGAGGTATAAATGCAGTCAAAGTGAAATTCCATTTCGGAACTGTCAAACTTTTCTTGATAATTTTTCTTAGTTTTCATCAAATTCTAGTGTAGAATTTTGCATGCGTCTTCCAGAAAGTGTTTATATGCCTCTTTCATTCTTTTGCAACAAGCCAGCCCATCTTATTGAATGTTATATTAAACTGTCTTCTTGGGCAAAAGGTTTGTTCTGAGAGCAATACCTTGGAAAGATGCATTTAGCAAAACAAAGAATTATTATATCAAAGAAATCCTATCCTCTATATATCTGAGCAAACTGCAATCACTTACAAGGACTGTACATGGAAAAGATATTCCAGGTTTTACAAAAAGATGGTTGCCTAATTGTTATTGTGTTTTATTTAACTACAATAACATTTAAAAATTAAGCTGAATTTCTGCAACAAACTGTAGAAACATATGATGTACAGCCTGCAGAGCGTCTCAGTGGCAGTAGTATTACTGATAATATTTGTGAATTAGAATCTGCTTTCCTCTGAAAAATAGCTGTGTGTTCTCTCAATTTAAAATACCATGGGTTTTGCCAACATGTTTTCATCACCATTAACAGTTTTGTGAGAAAAAGAATGGATATGATCTTCTTAAATACATGTCCTTACTTCTGCACGACTGTGGATCTTTCAGGGTGAGGGAGGCTGAATATCAGACCCAGCCTTTCCTCCATGTGTGCCAAGAACCCACTTAAAGAGACCGGGTGAATTCAAGAGGGTCTGTTTTACCAGGACCTCCCCCAGGTAGCTTAGCCCAACACCAGGAGAAAATTTGGAATTGTTGCTTGGTTGAACCACTTTTCCTAACAAAGGCATGATCATTCAGGACTAATCAGATTGCTGGATGCCAGAGGGTCTCCTGTCAGCACCCCAGAGTAAGCTCCAGCCCCTAGGAACTGATCCCAGAAGGATTTGTAGGAAAAGCTTGGTTTCCCACAAGAGATCATATGGCTCAAAAAAAAAAAAAAAAAAAAAAGTCCTTTGGATCTCACTTTTTTATGTTCAGACTTGCAAAGCACTTTAAGAACAACTCATGCTCACAAACAACATTCCTCTGACTTATCTCTAACATATGCTTGAAAGGCTCTATTCCAAACAAAGTGCAGGGATTAAGTAAATGAAAAGATACTAAACACTGCAGCAGGGAAACGGTCCAAGTAGTGGTGTACTCAGAAGCACCAGAGCTGGTTTAGGTTCACAGTCATCCATACACAGTTTGCAGCATCAACTTAAACCTTTTACCCTGCTTGGCTTCAGTAATCGCCTTCCCAAGGCTTTCCCTGGTGACTGGACTCACTCAGACATGAGGGTTCAGACCACACAGTCTCTAGAGCCCAGTCCACAGCAAAATTTGACCTTTCAACAAAGCTGCCATGCTCAGGAGGAAACCTGGCAGACCAATCCCTCAGCACTACTGCACACCAGTGAACTCATGCAAACAACATCTTTGGTGGGATGCACAAGCAAAGGTTCCCCTTCTCTTCCTCCCAATGGCTGTTGAGGTGGAAGCAAGGCAGACCATGGTACAGCATTAAACACAGCCCAGATTCCTGAGCTGATCATTTTGCCTCAGTAGCAATGCGTCATTAAAAACTCACCTTGAATGCAGAAATATGTGGTCCTTACCTATAACCCAGGCCTCAGCTGAGCTCTCAGGTTTCAGTGGGCTCATGGAAATAAGTACTTTGGTGGGATATATGTTCACCTCTTCACTCACTCCAAGTGAATGCTTTAAGGACCAACAAATTTCCTGTAAACTAATCCTGAATCAACAAGTATGAGTCTGGAAAAAAGTGAACCTTGAAATCTTCTCACTTTACCACTAATCCTAGCCAATATGGGTCTTAGCTTTAATTCAGTTAATTTCGCTGTTTCTGAGGGGAATAGATAGGGTAGTCAATAGAGAGATACTCCTTTTATCTTTGCCCAGGTAGGTTGTGTCTAATTCTAAAAGGGACCTTTCAGCAGTTGACAGCAGGTGACTAATCTGCAGAAACGCCCAGGTTCCTTAATCAAAGAAATGAAAAATTGTTTCTGACTGTGTCTTTCAGGATTTTGCCGACTCTGTATACCAAATGGTTGCACAGAAGTTCCAGGAGCTGACAGACAATTTCACTTCCATGCATGCACGCCACAAAACTCTTGCAGGCATTGTGATGACCAAAGGTAAGATATCCTCTCATTTATTTTCCTCTGGCATTTTTCGTGACTAAGTGATACATTATTTACCTGGTCCACAGTATTGAATGATGCCTTTACTCCTACACAGAAAAATAAATAGTAATGCAGAGAAAAAAAAGCATTAAATATTTACACCTCAAGTTAGTTCACACAGAAACTATTGGCAACAGAGGTAAAGATTTATTCATAAATATGTCCCTACATTGCTTTATTTACAAAATGCAGACCTGTCTGATGTTGTATTTCCTAATATATGGGAGTTTTTTAGTTATCAATAAAAAGTTGTATTATTTATTAATTGCTTTTTTAGATCTGGAAAAAAACAAGTTCTTGTTGTACAGGGCTACCATAAACCTTGTTTTAGACTGACAACCAAAGCAAATCTCAATCTATTTCCTTTCCAATTAAAAGAAACAAACCCAGAGCATGCATAGTTTTAATTCTGCTCTGCTCTAACCATAGGAAATACTTATACTTATCAACAGGGTCAACATTTTATATTCACTCATGTTAAGACTTAACTGATGGACATATACCATACAGAAGTCTTTAGCCCTTTGATGAAACTGTTGCACAGACAGTCTGTCTTTCTTTGTGAGCATACCCCAGTTGAGGCACCTCAGTAATTATGAGGATGTCAGCAGTGGAGATGCTGCCATAAACTTTGTTCTCATTCAGACATGTGGAGCAGTGGATTGAGTTTAGAAATGAGAGGATAAGCTCAGAGGGGAAAAACATATATAATTCATCCAGGCTTGTCTTACTCCTTCCTTTCAACAATTACATTAGCTAGATTCAATAGGGACAGTTGTGAATATTGCAAGGCAGTGGGTTGGAGACAGGGTTATCTGCTGGATCCTTTCCAACCACATCTAAATACAGCTGAGTCCTGCTGTGATAGTTTCACTCCTGCGCAGAGCAACTTATTCTCTTTCCTTCTGATATGAAGAGAGCAAAGAATCCTGTCCTGAAATTAGAAGCAGAGAAGTGAACTTAAAAGTCTTTCAGATCTCTGGTTGAAACTGAACTGCTCCTCAGCTAAACTTGTTATCATTTTGCTTAATTTGCTTTAGTTAGTTATTTTTTATATTACTTTAGGATCTGGATTAATGGATGAGTCTTCCATTTTTTAAATTCTGCACAGATACAATGTTGTACAAACACAAAACATGGTTTATGAGTCCAATAGACCACAGGAGACATATTCAGTAGCAAGAAAAGTAAAAGAGAGAGTGTGATTGACTTTGGAATGTGAAAGATGCACACTAGACCCAGCATACCAGCTGCCTTGTCATATTCTTGACTGTAGCACTCATCAGATTGAAACAAAATGCTGTAATTTATTTAGAGGAGCTCTATCCTAGCCAGAGGACCACAAGGAAGAATGTTTAAATATGTCTTGTATAAGAAGCTGAGTTACAGGAGCCAAGAATTGTTGCTTTAACCACTTTTTGAGGGGAGGCTGTACCCAGCTCAGTGTTCCTGTTCAGTTTTCTTACACTCAGTGTATATTTTGCCTGTAAGAATTCCATCCCATTCTACCTTGCCAAGGTACAGTCCCTGCACCCATTAGCCCAGGCCTAGATCTGCTTTAGAAAGCATGATCGTGCCAAGGCAGCCTCCTTACTGTACAACCAAAGAAGTAGTTGAAAACCCTGCATCATATGGGAAGAGAAGTCACCTAAAGGAGCCATAACTTCCAAAATTGTGGCTGCTGAGCGTGCGCAGTGCTAGAAGGGGGAAGGGGCACATCCGGACAACTGCTAGCCTGGCTGGGCAGTAAGGGCTGTCTATGTCTCTTCTTTGGAGAAGAAGTGAAAGTGTCCTCCCACTGGGTTTTTAATGAGGCCCATGCCCTTAGTGGGATTTTACAAAATTTTGTATTTCCTATTTCATCTTAGTGAGCATTCAGACAAAATATCATTTTACTTATGTTCACAAACCATTTCCCTCAGGACTTCTTTTTAAATTCTGAATTGCCTTTAATGAATTCCTTCAATCTGTCAGCCATCCAGTTTGTCAATATCTTACTGGTTTTGTGGAGCCTAGAAAAGAAACTCACAGATATGAAGTGATTGGCAGAAGACGCAAATCTAGAAACAGGTTTATCTTGGTACATTTTCCAGTAGGATTTGAGTTCTTTCCAGCACAAGGATGACTGCCAACCACAGCAAGATGAAACATTTGCCATTTGTGTCATTATTTTCTGTACTAAAGTTGTAGATTTGTGGTCATCACCCACCATCATTCCCAGAGGTAGCAAAGATTTTGACACACTCTGTTCAAAGATGGCACAGACAGGTTTTCCACATCAAACACTCAAATAAGTACTAATTATCCATGTTTTTACCATAGAATTTGGCAGAAAACCCCTTAGACCTCTGCAAACAATATATTAATGACATCAACAGAAACAAATCTGGTAACGTCTTGTTGCATTTCATACCACGCACACCCATAACAGACAAGAATTTTACTTTAATTTCAATTGAATGTCAGACTGACTAGAAATAGATTTATCTCTGCTTGTACAGTTTTCAAAAAAAGATGGTAAAAAGCACAATGTGATTCTGTGATAACTGCTGTTAAGATAATACAAAATCTCTACAGACAAAACAGAAGTGTGCTAGATTGGTTTTCTTTTCCTGAACTCTGACTTTTTTTTCTGCCATTTCAGTTTCCCAGGGAAACCACAGAGAGTTACATTTGGGCACTGTAATCGACTTATGCTGTAGCACCCAGGGCAAATTTCAAAGTAGGAGAAAGGAAAAAATGTAGAAAATGCTGTTATTGACTGACCGTGAATGTTCTGCAGTAATAAATTGCTTGTCTGAAAAACAGGCAGTCCAATGTATTTAGATATGTTTTGTTCTGAATTGTGATGAAAAGTTAACATCTCAATGCATTTTTGTGAAAGTAAATTTTCAAAAGCTTTGATTAGTAGGCATCAAGATAACCTTGAAAAAATGTGCCCATGTAGGAGCAAATTAACACACTGGTTACCAGTTGATATCATGTTACCTAACATAATATATTAAATGAATATAATAATATTTCAAACACTAACATAACAGATCCTGAACTAAATGTTTCAAAAAATGGAAAGATTGAGGTAAATTATTTAAGAGTTCTCCAGTTATAATGTATTTTAAATCTGCCAGTCCTCTAACACCTTCTAATGTTGTTGAAACACATTCAGAAAAGATTGTTCTATCAAAAATTGTTTGATTGACTGTAGGAAAAACTGTTTAACAAGTAAAACATTGCATTCAAATATTCCATGTAAAGTGAGCCATATTCCCACAGAATATCTTCAAGTAACACAATAACTATATCTGCTATTCTAGCATAGTATTAATATGGGGACCTAAGTTTTATTGCACGCTGACTATCCACAGTAGTTCTGATTTCTCTGAAGATATGATGGGTATATGTATGGTAAATTAAGAACATCACTTCACCTGTGGAAGAAACAGTCCAGATAACAACATGTCAAACAGAAACCATCACCTCAGAACGTGCATATCCAGGCATATGATGCATGGAGTTAACTTTCCTCATAGTGTTTTGTATTTGTGACTAAATCACTATTGATAACACCAATGTTTTGGCTATTGCTGGACAGTGCTTGCAAAGTGTCAAGACTTTCTCTTCACCCCCATCCCCAGTGAGTAGGCTGGGTGTTTGCAAGAGGCTGGGAGGACACATAACCAGGACAGCCATCCCCAGCTGAGGAAGGGAATATTTCATACCGCATGACATTGTGCTCAGCAGTAAAAGTTCAGGGAAGTAAAGACAAGAGGAAGACACTTGGGTTTATGGCATTTGTCTTGCCAAGCAATCACGAGCTATCATTATCTCAGTGCATGAGTCTTCTTGCCTTCCTTCTGTTTTCTCCCAATCGCACAGGAGAGGAGAGTGAGCGAGAGGCTGAGTGAGTGTTTGACTGTTGGCCAGGGTCAACCAATGGTTCATTTCAGTTTGTGCAACAACAATAGCTGGACATAATGTTTCTTGCTGTCACAGATTAAGGTAACCTACCATCTCCTACTGGTACTATGTGACTCTGTCTCTCAGGTGCAATTTGGACATCTTATTTTGACCCACTGATCTGATGTACCTTTTTACTGAGATGTTTTCAGAGAAAGATTAAGATGATGATGATGACGATGACGGTGATGATGATGATGATTATAATTATTATTATTATTACTATTACTATTACTATTACTAATTAGGCCAGAGGTGCAGTTGGAAAAACTCAAGGGCAAGCAAGCTAATATTTTCTAACATAGGCCAACAAAGGCAAAACTGCAGCACTCTCACGTATATCTGTCTGGAGTCACAGATTACCAGATGACAGGAGGCCGAGGAGCCGCTAGTGCGAAGCAGGTTTTGTGGGACTCAGTGAAGAGTGTGGTCCCACCACAGGTCACAAGGCAGGGCAGGCAGCTTTACCAATACATGGGTCATGGAGGAGAGAGTGCAGACAGTGCTGCGCATCCCCCAGCATGGGAGATAGGAAGCCCCAGCCCAGGGCAGCGCTGGGTGGGAGGTGGAGCTGTGAGGTGCACACCAAGTGCTGCCATCTAAAAGCAGGTGGCACTCACACTGTTTACACCACGGGCAGAGTTTGCCTTTGCCAGCTCCGAACAGCTATGGACATACATTTGTGCTCTACCTGAAATCACTGGATGCAGTAAAGAATTCCTGTCACTCAGTGAAGGGATGATCTATTATTACTGAGGTCCTTTTCACAAAAAAAACCTCCCATAATCATTACAGACAAAATGAGACTACTATTTAAACACTATTTTTCCATTTGTGTTTGACAAATCTTAGCAGTTTAAATACTGATAGGAACTTTTTGTCATGCTTTCTGTTAAAAATGAAGCATTAAGAAAGTTCAGTCCTTTTCACAGGAGCGTGGCATTCATAGAAAAAGGTTATGAGTTGATTTCTCACTTCAATTTTCTCTCTTCTAT